CAAGGAGACGATGCCTTAACATCAGCCGAGGTCTGAGGAGTTGAGGAATAGATTCAAAGGTAGGGCTGGGCCGCTGCCTGGGGAGAGTGTGCACTGGGCCTGTCACTCCTTGTCACTTGGGTTCTGCAATATAATAAGGATAATACCACCAAATACTTATAAAGCAGTTGCTACGTACCAAGCACTGTTCTATGCACTATTCAAGCATTAGTTGATTTAATCCTCATACACTCAGAAGTACCTACTATTATTATAGACATTCTACAGATAGGACGCTGGGGAACAAAGAAGTTTAATAATTTGCCCAAAGTCCCAAAGATATGAAGCAGCAGAGGCAAGATTTGGACTCAGGCAATCTGGCTCCAGAGCCTGTGATTAGCCACCAAGCTTTGCCACTTCTCCAGCCTGCTGTGTTCTGAGCCTTTTCTGAATGATGACACATGGCCCAGAAGCCACTGGAAGCCCCTGGACTTGGGTGAGCACCCCTCCCAGTGGGGCTTGAGGATCCCTCTGTGACAACAGTCTGCTTCAGCTGCTTTGACCATTGTCTCTTCTTTGACAAGACTCGAATTCTTTGAGTCTTTGCAAACTTCTCAAGTTCTCTGACTTTTTTTTTTTTTTTCTTCCACGGATAAGTCTAATGTTTTCCCTTTGGAGGAGCAGGGGAAAAAAAAGTCACTCAGAGCTGATACTATGCTGGTTCTGCTGCCCTCTGGCGTTCACTGAGGGAACAGCAAGCACTCAGAGCTCTGAATCAAGGTGGGGGCAAAAAGGCTTCCTTCTGTCTGTGGAGTAGAACCTTCTTTCTTCAGTGAGAGGAGAAAGGGAAGTGGTAGAAGCAATGCATTTTGGGAGCTGAACAAATGTAGTAACTATACTCCCAGAAACAAGTGAGGCGGACACATGGATTGAACTGGAAGTGTATTTTCGTGTGTCCTATGGCTGGTCTTAGCCTTTCACAGGTATTCCACTGGTCTCAGGATGTGAAACCCATAAAAGTAACAAGTAACAAGTGAATCCAACAACCCGCATTGTATGGAGGGGGAAACCGAGGCCCGAGATTAGAAAGCCTGTCCATATCAGAGCTGGGCTGACCACCACCTTGCTGACTCTGGTCCCCTTTCTTTCCTCTTCCTCTTCCTTACTTCTTTTTTTTATCATCATCATTAAAATTTTTGTCATCCTAATGGTTAACACTGAGCGCTTACTGTGAGCCAGTTGCTGTGCCACATTTGCTGTAGTATTTAACTCATACAAAAATGCAATAATATAGATAGTTTTTGTTTATTTTATGGATGAAAAACTAAGGCTCTGAGAGATGAAATACTTGCTCAGTTACACACACAAAAAGTAAGTGGCAGACTTTCTGGCCCCGCCGGAAGACTTTCTACTCTGTTTTCTATGCTATGCTGAGCTAAGGGCAGAGTAAAGAAAAAAAAAATTTCCTGGAGCTTGCAGCTGAACAGTAATAGTACAGGTGACATTTGAACACATCTGGAGTTAGGGACACTGATCCTTGCACAGTCAGAAGTCTGCATATAACTTTTGACTCCCCCACACTTAACTACCAACAGCCTACTGTTGACTGGAAGCCTTAATGATAACAAAAAGTCAATTAACATGTATTTTGTATATCAGACGTATCATATACTGTATTCTTACAAGAAAGTAAGCTAGAGAAAATAACATGTTACTAAGAAAATCATAAGAAAGACAAAATACATTTATACTGTTTATTGAAAAAATCCGTGTGTAAGTGAACCCGTGCAGCCCGAACTGTCGTTCACAGGTCAACTGTGTTTACTATGTGCCAGTACTGTTCTCAGCAAATCACATTTAGTAACTCATCTAACCTCATATTGTTCCTATAAAGTAGTACTTTATAGCACCATTATATCCACATTTTACAGCTAGGAAGACTAAGGCACAGAGAGGTTTAATAATTTGTTCTGGGTACCACAGTTAGTAAGTGTAGAGACAGCATTCCAGTGTAAGCTGTGTGGCTCTGTTCCCCTGTCCCTTAATCACTGCTGGACTGACTCTCCCTGTGACAAACAGGGAACCAGCTCTAGACCAATGATGGACCCTGGCTATCCCAGATCCCCTTGGGTGATGGCAAAGCAGTGCGGAGTAGCCAAGACCATCACCCTGGGGTCTAGAGTCATAAGATGTCATACAAAATAGCATCCCATCCCTCTCCATCTCCTTACACTGCTTCCTCCTTCTTCAAGAACTTTCTGGCATTGGGATGTATTTAAATTTATTTATTGCTTATTTCTTGTTGCTCCCACTAGAACATAAGCACAACGGGGGTGACAACTCCATTGTACTCACCCCCTACTGTCCAGTGCTTAGGTAGTTGTAGCTGCTCAATACATATATGTGGGATCCCCTTTGGCAAGTTGAAGGGTCCCCGGAGTCAGAAAGTGGTACAGCAAGAAAGGGCTGGCTTGTCTTATCTCTGACAGGAGCTGTTATTGCCAGAATTATGGATGATTTCTAAGCAAAAGTTGGATGATTAATGAGTGGGAAAGGGATGCCTTGGAAATGAAGTGACAGGGAAACAGAGATGGTCTCAGAGGTGGCTGACTACAATGGAATGTCCTTTCTCAAGTCCTTCCACACCTGGGTAAGGGACAGACCCCATTTCTAGTGCTGATGACAGAGTCCATTGTGCAAGGCTCTGTACTCACGAAGAAAGGAAAGCTTGGCAAGAAGTTCAGGAGACAAAGTGGGCAGCCAGATTCCATGTTAGGTGAGCAGAGCATGTGCTGAGTTCACCTAGACTCCAAGGTGGACCAAGGAGGTCTGTGAAGAGACTTACCCTCCCCGTTCCTCAGTTTCCTCACGGTGCTGTTACGAGGATTAGGTGAGGCGGTACATGAAAGTGTTTAGGACAACGCCTGGCACGTGGCAAGTGCTCAGTGAGCGCTGGCCAGAACTGCTACTACGATGTCTGCTTCTGTTGTCATTGTTACAGGGAGTCTGTCTTGAGAAGTGGGCTGGGCCTTAGGGGCACGGAAACCTCAGGTGAGGAATCGCAAGGACAATCAGGTAGCCAGTCCTGCCAACCACCGTGCTTTGTCACCTTCCTGTGACAGTAGGATGGATTCAAGGTCAAGACCTGAGACCACAGAGTCAGCTGGGCCTGAGTTTGAATCCTGGCTCTGCTGTTTCCTAGCAGTGTGTGTATTTGGGTTTGGCACTTAACTTCTCTCTACCTCAGTTTCCTCATTTGTACTATGGGGAGACCAATCATCCCCACTTCATAGGGAAAATATTTAGAACAGTACTCAGTTTTTTATCACTGACATCGACCTTTATTAATGCTGTTGAGATAAGCATCTTGTTTCGTGGAAAGTGACTGGTTCTTGCCTGATGCTCCTCTATATAGATCATGGATGACATTTCCATACTCTGGCCACTAGATGGCGTGCATGCTCTTTCCTGCCCGACCTGAGCTGGGCCAGAATCAGAAATAACATGCAAGAAAAGGCAAGCTCCCTCTTATAGGCCAGAACTGGGCTGCAACCTTTGCCTATAATTCTTACATTAAAAGAGGCATTCCACCGAAAATGCCTGGCACGGTGCCTGGCACATGGTAAGGCCTCAAAAGTGCTTGCTGCTTTTCCTATTGCTGTTGCCATTATTCCCATTTTTACAGAGTTAGGACTGAGGCACAGAGAGGAAAGTAGGTAGGTAGAGGCTGGATCCTAAGCCAGACCTGACTGGCTGCAAGGTCAGCATCTTTTCACCTAAACTTCCTTTCAGGGGAGTGAGGGGTGCCTTGGGCTCAGCTCACGGGCCTCCACCATGTCTACTTTTGCTCTCTGATTTTTTTCTGGATCTATCACTTTCTGACTTCCTGTGTGATCTTAACATCGTAACTTAGGCTTTCAGACCTCCAGTTGCTCATCTTTACATTAGGAGTCGTAATACTTTCCTAGTTTGGGAGATACTTCAGAAACGGCAGCTAGACCAGAGTGGACACTCGTGGATGACGGCACTGCTGTTAATGCCTCACATGTTCACACAAGCGGACTTCCTCCCTCCCTTCCTTTCTTCCTCCCTCCCTTCCTTTCTTCTTTTTCTTCCTTTTCTCTCTCCTTCTTTCACATATACACAAATCACTTTACTCTGTGTACCTCGAATACAATGCACTCATGGTTCCTGCCCTCATGGACCTTAAGGTGAACCAAAGTAAGGACCTCAGGCACCTAACTGTCCTAATCTCCATTCATTCCTGGGACAACTCCACCTCCTGAGCACCTTCTTTCCTGTCGGCCCCAGGGATTTGAGTGCTCCCACCTGCTCCACCCCCAGGGTCCCTCTCTCTGTAAAACCTAGTGTCTACAGGCCACACAGCTCAGGACCCACCTCCACTGTGCTGCTCCAAACGCAAGCCCACGGATTGTTCAGGTTCTGCCAGGCATTGTCAGATCCCGGCCTAGCAGACGCCATTCATTCCGCTTCACGAGTGGCTTTCAAAATGGCTTTGGCATCAAAAGCTGCCCGGATGCCTGAGGCCTTTGAGAGGGAGATGTGACAGAACGATGTGACAGCAAGGACTCATCCTTGCTTATGCTAGAACAGCTCTGGTTTTATCTGCTTTATGTTCTGGGGTTACATATAATATTTTGCTGCTAAAGAAAAATGTCAAAAACTGTCCTACCGTGATAATAGGAAGGAGATGCCTTTTGAGATAATTCGGAGAAAATCTGGAAAGAGAATGTATTTGGGAACATGTTTTAAAATTAGTTTCCAAGGTGCTAAGTGAAATAAGCAAGGCAGAGAAAGACAAATACTGCATAGTATCATTTATATGTGGAACCTAAAAAAAGTTAGACTCATAGGAACAGAGAGTAGATAAGGGGTTGCCCAGGACTGGGGGTGGAGGAAATAGGGAGAGGTTGGTAAAAGGATATAAACTTTTAGCCGTAAGGTGGGTAAGGACTGGTCCGCTGGTCTGCTGCTCAGGACTTTGCCTTTCTATGTTGCAGTGCCCTGGTTCCCGAAAACCATTCAGGAGCTGGACCGATTTGCCAACCAGATTCTCAGCTACGGAGCAGAACTGGATGCAGACCACCCCGTGAGTCCATGGCCCTGCAGATGAGATGCTTTCTGCCCGCCCCCCTACACCCCCTACTCCCATCGCGAGCAATGTGTCTTCATTTGTTTGCTTGTACAATAATCATTTATTGAGTGCCTACCTACGTATCATCACCATTGTAGTTATTATTATTGTTGAAACAAATATGGATTACCGTGCAGAAACTATTGTTTACGTATAATATGTGTAAGGGTGTGTGTACACACACCCTTACACATATACACAAATCATCTTTACTTCTGACTTTCTAAAATTACAGAGGCTGAATTCAAGTGCTTGGGAAACAGTAAACTATACTAACAACTCTGCCAGGGCCAGTTGGACATGGAAAGTGGTGACATTGGAACTGGATCTTAACAAATTGAGTAGAATATTCTAGTCGAAGAAGGAAATGAGAGGCATTACAGGCTGAGGAAACAGTATATGCAGCGTCTCAGGGTCCTGAAAGTATCTGGACTATTTTAGAATGGTGGATGGGTGTGTTAGGTGTGAGGACTAGATTTGAAAAGGTCTGACGTACCAGACGGAGGACTCCGATTGTCCTGCGTCCTGTGGGCAGGGCAGTGGGCCCTTTAATGCTTTCTGGGTAGAGGACTAGTGTGGGAGGGTTTTATCCTCTTTTTCTCTGGAGCAGAGGGTCCTGGGGATGGGAGGTAGGCACCCAGGCTGGCTCGGGGCCAGTTCTGACTACTTCTCTGGGTGAGAAGTGCCACCATCATGCTGACTATCTTTAATTCTTCACCCAGGCAAATGGTTCCCTTAATCTTTAAATGACTTGAAAGCCATTTTCATTCACAATGGTTTAGTTTTGCCCAATGGGAGTGTCTGTATTTCATCAGAGGTCCGATTCTCCTCACATCTATATGAGTCTTCACATTCGAGTAGGTTATGAGCTGTCTTCTTTGACGGGTCTCTTTCTGGGGCCTCCTGGCTATGGGCCCAGAGAACAAGACATCTCCAAAGGTACCGTTTCTCCGGAAAAGCTGTCCGGCTGCCTTGGACTCAGTCTGTGGGATCAGCCCATAGGGGTCCTTTCTCTTCCGACCAACCTCCAGTCCTCCTGCCCCGACGCACGTCCCTCATTTGGGGAAGAGGCAGAAGAGGTCAGTCCATAGACGTGGCCATTTCCCTCTCTGTCCTTGTGTCACCTCAGGAGCAGATAGGGCTGGTCTTAAAACTCTGGAATTAACTTCTCCTTACAGATCCAGCCCATGTCTTTGGCTCCCTGGCCTCTCTGTGTCTTGGATTTTATCATAAAAATGCAATTTATCAGGTACACAGTCCTCCTGATGAGGAGGCCAGGCTCTTTCTGTTCCTTCCTGTGACTTCTCATCAGATCCAGGAATTGATGGGCCAAGGACAGAGTAAACCTTTTGGGGAGCTTCCCCACAGCCCTCCAGGCCCCACAGGCTCTGGCCTCAGTGAGTGAGGAGCGGGCGGGTGTTCTTGCTGAAAGAACCCTCTGTTCCGCCCTGTGCCCTGGCTTTCCGGATGCTCTCGTCTTCCCCTGACCTCTGGTTCTTGGCAGTATGTACTGACGTTTGACCCAACATCTCATTTCGAGGTCTCCAAAACAGCCACTCTGAGAAATGAGGCCAGGGAAGGACTATTCCCGAAACACAGGGTAAAGGGCATCGTCTTCCAGGGTTCGCGAAGTGGGGAAATGAAGTAGGATCGCGGTACTTCGCTCTGTCTACCTCGTCTTTCTCCTTACGTCGCCAGCCTCTTGCCTTCCCTCCATCCCCGCTCCCTTTCTCCTTCCCACAAACATTTGTTAAGTGAATGATATTTAGGGATAACATTGCTTAAGCACGGACTGTGTGCCAGGCGCTGGCTAAAGACTTGACCTGCATTTAAAAAATTTAAATGTTATAACCCCTGGGAAGGTTGTACTATCTCAGTTTCAGATGAGGAATCTCAGAGAGGGTAGTGTGGCCTCACGTGTCTGTGAGCTGTGTCCCAGGCCATGTGCAGGATGCGGGGTGGAAACGATTAATAGAACGGGATCCCTGCTCTCCAGGGACCTCCTGTTGTGGGGTTGTGGGAGGAGGGGTGTCTACACTTCCCAAAGGGATGGCAGACGGGACTAGGGTAAAACCGTAAACCTAGAAGGCAGAATCCAAGTGGATCTGTTTGATTTCCATTTCTAAAAGTGACTTTCTTTTCTCTGACCATTCCCGGCTTCCGGGCTCCTGTAAACGTTGTTTCCTGTGCCTGGGATGCTTTTCCTTATCCTCCCACCTGCTTTTTCCCTGCGGGAGAAACTTTATGCACCTTTTAAGGCCCAACCCACATATCTTGACTCCCGAAAACCTTCCACCTACCTGCCTGTTCCCTAGGCCCAATGGTTTTAGAACTGTATGCATTGTGATTTATACTTTGAGCACAGAGCATCAGATCAAAATAAATTCACCGCTTTATCACTTAAATGTCACAGGAGGCATAAAATATCTATACAAGTGAAGGGGTCATATTCACATTTCCTAAACTACAGTCTGTGAAACAGAATCTCATGATCAAAGGGAGAAGCGCTGTGTGCTTGAACTCCATTTCCAGCATTTACAAGTCCTGTCATCTCATTAGAGGCTTTGGAAAGTCCTCCAAAAGTGAAAACCCATTTAACCTAACATTTCTCAAACTTATTTACCCAAGGAACCTTTTTTTTAACCTTTAGCAACATTATCCTGAATGATGGTAGTGTTCCATGGAACGCAGTTTGGGTAATACAGTTTGGGCAAAAAAGGTACAGAATTAATGAGTCACGTAGTGTATGCTATCAGTTCTGAGGCCGCTGTGGACTGGAATGGTTAGGGAGGACTTCTGGAAAGAGGGAGATCTGAGTTAAGCTCTCTAGCCACCAAGATAGACTAACTGCTTATCAACCAGCCCCTAAATCTCCATGGCTTAACCCAGTGGAAGTTTATTTCCAGTGTAGTCAATAGGGAAATCGCTCCACACTGTCGTCCAGAGATCAGGTCTCCTTCCACGTAATGGCTGCACCCTCCTCCCAGTCCTTGGAGCCCTCTGCATCCTGCCAATGCATAGAAGAGAGAGTGGAAACTGCTCCCGGAGGATTGAAGGTGACTCACATCCCCTCACTCAAATTTCGTTGACTACAGCTCAGTCTCAGGGCCACTACTAACTGCAAAAGAGACAAGTATTTCAGTAGTGCTGTCTGAAAAAAAGGAAGGGGACAGACCTCAGGGAGGACCAGCGGCCCCTATCACACAGACCCCAACCCCAGAGCTCCCTATTTTACTTTCCCTAACACCTGCACCAGTGTCTAGGTGAAGACCTGCACTGGAAGGGGCTTTATGGAGGAGAAAAACATCAATCAGCATAACTGCTCTTCTGTGTTATTTCATCCCAGTCTCTCAAGTTGCTTTGCAGCCTTTCAAGGCGTTCAGTTTTCCTACTCACCAACAAAAGCCTTGCTCTTCCCCAAGAGCAGGACTATATTTCGAATACTTCTTTCCCTTCCTCTTCCTTCCTCCCACCCAAACTCCTCCATCTGAGGGCCCTGTCAGAAGATATTCTAAGGATCTACCAGCTAGTCGAGTCATCAGACTTCTTGCACTCCTGCTAAATTGCTCTGTCAAAGCACCACTTTCAAAGAGTTAGAAACAACAGACATACATACAGGTACGTGTGTATGAACATCTGTCAAAAATTCATTGACTCAGGACCAAGGGGCCCAGCAAGATGACAAAGATGGTGCAAAGGAGGACGCCAGAGGCCAAAGTATATATGGTCACTGAGAAATAGAACTCCAGAATAAGATCGCAAAGACGGCCAAGCAAATTATGAATATCTCGTAAGGCAACGACACCATGACTGTGAGTGTTCTCTTTTCTACTGGTCAGAAGTCATTTGCAACTGGACCATAAAATAAGTATGTTCCGATATCAACCTTTCGTTAGTCAGCATCCAACTTTGAAGAGTTTGGACCTTACCAAGCAGTATATTGCATGTCAAACAAATATACGTGCCCCCAGAGGGAGCTTGTTAAACAGTGATCTAATCTGACTTTGAAAAGGCACACAGTAATTTTTTGCCTAAGTTTTGTATAACTTTTTTAACAGCTCTTACTTGGGAATCTGCCAAGTATGCCATGCACTGAAAATCCAGTGACAAGACAAACAGATTCCTGAGTTTAATAAGTATTAGTGAGTATAATAATTGTCTAAAAGGAGAAACACTGAAGATGTTGAGAGAGTGTATTGTGAAGGAAAACCAATAAACTTTGGAAAAATCAAGGAAGGTCTCTCAACGTACAGTATACACAAAGATGGAAAGGCCAAGTCATAGCTTATGGGTCTGAGAGAGTGGGGAAGACTATTTCAACCAGAGGAGAAACAGCATGTGTGAAAGCCTCAATGTGGAAAAAAGCATGGCGTGTTTAAATAATTAAAATAAGACCATTGGACAAATTTGGAGACCTAATATGCGGGCAATTGTCGTTTAGCACAGAGATGGAAACGTAGGCAGGGCAGATCACACAAAGCCTTCTAGACTATGTTAAGGATTTTGGATTTTATCCTAAAAGTGATGAGAAGCCATTGAAAGGTTTTAAGGAGGGGAGTGACCCCACCAGATTTGCATTTTATAAGTCTTCTTGGGCTGACGTGAATGGGGATTTGGGTTTGTAGAGAGGTGACAGAGAAAGGACACATGGAAAGCAGTTATTGTGATCCAGGCAAGAAATGATGGGGCCCTGAATTAAGGTGTAGCAGTGAGAATAAAGTAAAAAAAGGACAGACTCACGATATTTGGAAGGAAGGATGGACAAAAATTGATTATTAAATGTGAAGGAAGAAAGGAGGAGAGAAGTAAAACAATGGACCTAGGATACTGAGCTGGGCAACCGGGTACCTGAATCCTTTCCAGAATAGGTTCTTGGCCTCATTAGTGATGGCCGTGGCCAGCAGTGCAGAGTGGGCAAGGGGAGGGGGCATGGTCAGCGCTGCCTTTGTCTATTAGTTTGCAAATCTTTGGCCAGTGTCTACAAGATGGCAATGGTAAGTACTTTAAAAATGCTTCTCGTTGTTGGCCAAATCAAATATAAATAGCAAGGTAAGAATTCTACAGATGCTGTTTAAAAAGGCCAAGGATGGGTGATGGGGCTCAATGACCCATTCCAGAGCCTATCCTTTTTATGTTCTGGACCAGACTTCTCAGCTTTTGGATTTCCCCCATTTTGCATAAATGGATCGTTGTTTGGGTGTCTCTTTTATGCTCAGAATTTTACTTGATGCCCTGCGTGCATTACCTAATCTAATTCACCCAACACTCTGAGGTGGCTACGATGAAAAGCCTCACTTTACTGATGCAGAAACTAAAGCTGTGAGAAGTGAACTGACCGACCTCAGGCCACGCCCCCGTTCTTTCTAGTCTAAAGATAGCATTTCTGAGGGTTAACCTCAGCCATGATATCAAGAAATGATGGAGTAGACATCTCAGTCTAGAATACTCACAAAACTTTTCCATATATTTACTCTCTCCCCCAAACCCCTATAGAAATGACACACTCAGGTGACAAAAATTCTGGGATTAAGAAGAGTGATCACATGTAGACTGCAAGTGGTGTTATTATAACTTCGCATCGTGGAGAATTCTCTCTACTTTCTTCCAACCCTCCTCCCCTCTTCCCCTTTCCCCTCATCACTCCTTCACCAACAATATATTTTCCTGTCAAAACATACTTGGTTACATGCAGTGCAACCAAAATTGCTGCTATTAGCTTAATTGAGACAGGGTGATTATAAATAAATTATATGCAGTGCTACTGAAATTGCTGCTATTAGTCTAAATTGAGACAGGATGATTAGTCATCACCAACTGTAGCTTAATTCAGAGGGTAGTCCATATGGCTGCTGAGGCCCTGTGGTCACCTGGCAGCCCCTTTCCCCCTAAAAAGGCCAAATTCCTGAGAGATGGACTTCAAGGTTACAGCTTTCTTTCACTGGTCACAGAGGGCAAAAGTCTAAAGATCATGCACCTTAGTTGGTGGGGACCCATTGCAGGCTGATAATAAACTTAGCAACTTTGAGCCGGAAATGACAATGGTTAGAAACCTTCCTTATAGAAAATCTGTGTGATATATTATGTGTGTGTATGTTGACATGTCTCAATGTATAAATATGCTGTCACTTCTCATATGATTTGAGATGAATTTTTACTATTATTTTACTTTTTTCCAATTATAAACAAAATCCGCATTCACAGTTGAAAACTTCAAAAGCATAAATAGTACAGAAGAATAAAGCAGTTACGAGTTCTCATTTTCATAACATTTGTTAGATTATAAAATGTTTCTTCCATCATTTCATTTACATATTTATACATTTCCTCTGGTATAGTTGATACTTACTGGATATACAACTTTATGTTAAGCGTTTTTTTCATGGATGAAAAAATATTTAAACCATCTAGACAATGTACATTACAGATTAAAGAGTCAAATGAGGAAGAGAAATTGTCATGGGCACCCCATGTCTGGAGGCAGCATGATGAGGTGGAAATCCACTGGTTACAAGAATTCTTCTCTTGCTTCCTCCCTTTCCCGCCTTAACCCTCAAACCTCCACTCACCAGCTTGGGTTGAAGCAGAAATCCTGAGTGGACATACTGATTCTGCAGTTAAGGGCCTTGGGCAAATGGCTCTATGAGCTTCGCACTTCTCAGATCTAGATCACAATATATAGATGTTCTCCAAAACGCTTTACAAGTGCAAAAGTTTACACTTCATACTTAGGGGCTGGAGAAAGCCATTTTCTACTGACTGTTAAATAAGACTTGTTTTTAAGGTTGATTATAACAGTCAAGCCTTAATGATTGGCAAACGTTACCATTTATATTGTGAGTTCTAAGTATGGAGATGTGTTCCTCATTTAGCCCAGTAGACAGGTTCATAAAAGGGTGTGTTAGTGCTGTTTGGAAATCAAATCATGGTGCCCATTTTGTTTTTATCACATCATCCCAAAGCAACTTATCTTCACCCAGTAAAAGTGGACCCTATAGTAGTTTTAAGTTTTAAGATTCCTAAGCTTTTCTACCTGTAATTAATGATTCAAAACCATTCAGTGCTCTAAGGAAAACAAATCATGTCATTGACTCTTATCTAAACCTATAATCACTTAATTTATCTGGAACTTAAGTTCGGAATGAAAAGTGTATCATAATTTTACTTTACTTTTTCAGTGCGAAATATTTGAATTTTTCTATTTCTCGAAATGTATCCTAGAAAATAAACTAAGAAACTCCTTCCCCCTCCTTTCTTTCTTTTCCTCCTTTGACAAGTATTTGTAGTTCTTTCCGTATGCCAGATTCTATGCTACAGATTCTCAGATGAAATGATATTATATGTAATATAACATAACATAATATAACATAATATAATATAATAT